CAGTGCTTAGAAATCCAGGGATTTGATGATTATCCAACTGGCATTGAAGATGTTCTCAAGCAAGCTGAATGTGTCCTATTGGTTGACAATAAATTTTTGAGTTGCATCTCTGATTTACATCCAGAGAACTTGAAGGGTATGAAAAGCTGTTGGCTAGAGAGGTGTACGGAAGTGAAGAGCATTTATGAAGAGCAATATACAGATTTGAAACTGGGGGAAAAAATGGAGTTTGCAGAAAACCTGGAGATCCTACGGATTTCAACCTTACCAAAATTGAGGAGTTTCTATGAGGGGAAGGCGCAGCCCTTCTCGAATCTGAAAGAATTGTATATTGATTACTGCCCTATGCTTGAAACTGTTTTCTCCTCGAAGCAGGTTCTGGAAAACCTCGAAACCCTCCAAATCAAATTTTGTGCTATCCTGAAGGCAGTATTTGGACAGAGTAAAACACCGGACGGTAGTATGCAGTTTGCAACTGCTAGGAAGCTGAAGCATCTATATATATGCCATTGTCCAGGGCTTGAAACTGTTTTCTCTTCAAATCAGATTCTGGAAAACCTTGAAACTCTCCAAATCAAATTTTGTGGTATCCTGAATACAGTATTTGGAAAGGGTAAAGCACCGGACGGGAGTGTGCAGTTTGCAAGTGCAAGTAAGATGAAGCATCTATCTATATGTCACTGTCCAGTGCTTGAAACTGTTTTCTCTTCACCCCTACTTCCAAAAGAACTTGAAACTGTGGAAATAAAGCTTTGTGATAAACTAGAGAGTGTGTTTGGAAGTGAGGAATCAGCCACCTCTGAATTATTGAAGTTAAGCAAAATGGATCTGTCAGAACTGCCAGAGTTGAGAACCATTGGTGTTAAGTTGCCGAACTGTGTACCACCAGGGGGGGATGTCATCAATTGCCCAAAACTACTAAGTCCAGAGAATTCCAAACCAACAAATGCATCAGAGGAAATTACTGAAGTTGGTGATCATTGAGTCAGAAGACAAAGGCCTATACAGACTTTCATGAG